GTCCAGCACGCGGTTCATCTTCAAGAACTGAAATCTCCTTGGCGAAATTTTTGATACCATCTTTTACATGTAGTATGACTTACAGCGTTTTCTCCATATGCAGCACAAATCATTGCAGTGGCTTCAGCATTTTTCTTCAGATGAAACGCGAAGTGGATGAAAAATTGAATATGCTCTTTTGTTATTGCTACTGTAAACACTACTGATTTTTGAGATTATGTGCATCAAACGTCAAACCGTATGGCATTTTAGAAGGCCAAATGTCAACACTTTAAAACCGCAAAAGGGCGGAAAGATATATAAAATTCAAATTGTTATTTCGGTTGTATGAAATCTAAAGCTCATAACTTTTTTGTACACCTAATATTATATAATAATATTAGATGTACAATATTATATAATATATAAAAATTGTAAAGTATATCTAAAATGATATTGCGAAGATTAATATTTAAAAGCTTAAATTCGAGCAAACTGTGTTTGTTAATTATAAGAAATGTTTGTTAATTATAAGAAAGGAATTATTATAACGGAGTATAACTCTTTGGAAATGAAAATAAGCCAACGTTAAATGTCAAGACCGCCATAATACTTAGTCACAAATGTAACTCATGGTCAGTTTGTAAGCGAAAGTAGGCCACCGTTAAATGTCAAGGCCGCCATAATATTTAGTCACAAGTGTGACTCATGGTCAGTTTGTAAGCGAAAGTAGGCCAACGTTAAATGTCAAGGCCGCCATAATATTTTAATACCACGAGTCATCGCTGACTCATAGCAAATGTAAGCCAAGTTGACCAATAGAAAACTATGTCAAGAACAACTAGAAGGTCTTAAACGCATGAATCATAGCTGACTATGAGTAATAGATTAGTGAAAGTAGACTAACAATAGGCAAACCGTGCCAAGGCCATTTGGTAACAGGCTTTATTCAAACCTGTAGAATCATAACATTGGAATTTAGATCATCCCTACTTCCATGTTTTGCCAACATATAAAAACCTCAAGCGACGATACCTTTGCACACTTGCATTTGTTCAGGAATTAACCACTTGATCAGCATCGCTTAGCGGCTGAGCAACTTGCGTTTACGAACAATGTAATTCTTAATCGCGTGTCGCATTCCATAAATAAATTCCATAATTGGATTAGTGTACATATAACATTTATAACAGTGAATAAATCCCGATTCAAATATCACAAGTGTGATATTATTCCTTATTCCCAAAATGGAAAACTCTTTCCTGAAAATAAAAGTCACTTCGACATTCCTGTTACCCTTCCTTCGCAGTATCTAATAAGGTTTTATCCTCTTAACCGCATGGAAAAAAATCCTACAAATAACATGTGAGTATAGCGATCGAGGATTTGCTGATTTCGGCGTCCGACCTACCAGGACCTCCCAGGACGTCACAATAGTTAGTATATCTAAAATATATCAGTATAACTCCATTTGTAATACATTACTTATTGAATACCTTCAGATACAAAATGGCTCTGATTGGTTAAATTATTAGGGTAGTTTTCATGCATATTAATATCCAGGATTATCATATCCATAGGATTAGTATTAATGATAAAAGAGAAGCAATAAATATAAGTCTAGGATGAAGGTTTTTAGAAGTGAACCGATTTATATACGGAGATTTGCTTTTTGAATTGATCCGGGTTTTTGAAGTAAGTGTATGTAAGCAAATTTATAATTATTTGAATATCGTCTAAACGGTACGATTTAAATAGGGCGTGTTCCTTACATCTAATTGAATTTTTGGATTTTTGGCCTTAATGGCCTTTCGGCGTATTAAATTTTATCAACTAAGGTGGTACGTATCTCGAAAAATACTTCTTGGCTTTTCTGGGTTGGTTAAGTTGAGTTCCCGCCCCCGACATTTAGAGAGAGGGAAATAAAAATATAAAAAAAAAATTTACGATTTCTGTTACGTGATAGAATTTTAACTGTTCATTACCCTGTTTTACAGGTCCGTTAGGAAAACTTCTATCTTTATTAGGCTTTTCCGTCCTGTTGGCGCCGAGACTATTTGTTTAAAGAAGAGGAAAAACGTTTAGTGGGCAATATAACTTTCGTCGAGAAACGAATTTTTCGAGATATTTCGAAGCCCTTCGAGATTGTTCGAAAGGGAGGAATTGTGAAGAACGCAGGACGTAACATATATATATATATATGAATATATGTTAGAATATGTAACATAAGAATATTTATGCAAATGGTTATTTTCCTTTAACTACGCAGAGTTTTTGTGGCAGTCTTACATGACCGTACTATATGTCCGACGTTGTTTGTATGAAGAAAGAAAGAAAATGAAAGGAAAAACTTTTATATTTGTCTTTCATTTATGTATAACGTGTAACAATAAATCCCTTAACCAATGTCGCTGTACGGACAAATAGAATTTTCAGGTCCGCCATAAATATATCCGACAAGAAACATTGGTTAAGGGATTTACTGAAAAATTTAGCACCATTTAATCGACTAGGTACACAACATTATATATGAATGAAAGACAAATAGAGAAGATTTTGTTTCTATTTTTTTTTTCTTTCTTAACCAACGCCGGACATATAGAATTGTACAGATATTCAAAACTTTCAGGACTGCCATAAAAAATAACTTTGCGTAAGTAAAGGAAAATTACCATTCGCATAAACATTATTATATCACATATTCTAACATATACACATATATTATATATAAATTATTTTAATTCCAAGTTTAAATTGAATCTATTGAGTCGTTTTAATGCATATAATTATAGATTAAACGAACTTACTTAAGTGAAGTTCGATCATAATTGTATGAGCGCCTCTTCCGAAGTGATCAAGACGTAGTACCTCC